AACACCCTAATGCACATATGACAATCCACACACTCTTATTTGTTTCCGTCTGAATTATTTCCTTAACAGGTCCTTCCTCACCTCTAATTACCATGATTACTATGATTTTATTCACCAAAATTTAAATCATAATTTTATCAAAAATATTTAAAATCAACATTTTTACTCCTTGTTTCTATTCTGTGTTTTTCTGATTTCAGCCTCCTACCGAGTATCCTGCTATGCTCCTTTCTGCGTTAACTCAAGTCTGCCTTCTATTTTCAAGCATTTTGTTTAGTCTACACACTTCTTCGGTTCCTGTCACTGAAGTGTCAGGTAAGAGTCATCTCCATGGACATTTTTAGTCCAAGGACATCCAATCACTGGGACAGCCCTAAAATAAAATTCTAAGCAAACTGGTCAAACTACAGCACAATTAGTGTGAGTGCTTCTCCTGACAACTTTTTTAAACATAGATATTAAAGACAAATAACCAATCTTTTAAAAAAGTGTCTTCCCTGAGAATCTGTAACAGTTAAAAAATAAATAAATCAAAGAACGCAGGAAGCTTACCTTTCGATCCTGGATGGATACAGTCTCTTAAAAACCTCCAGCTTAACGTAACTACATCCTTTTTGCTTTTTCTGAGCAATCTTTTTCTTCTGTAACTTCTGTCTTCTGGCTTGCTAGCTGCACTTTATTCTATGTACGTGCAAAGGAACCCAAGATGTTGTCCAGAGTTGCTCACTTCTACTCTGTCTCCACAGTGTTCACGTCACTTGTAGCACCGAAGCTGCTGAGAAGCCAATGCATCAGCTCTGTGAAAGAGAAAGTCAAATAAACCAGGGCACCAGACACAGCACAGGGTGATCAGCTTCATAGATCCTGATCATGATGCCAGAGTGAAAATAAAACACGGAAAGCTGCAATGATCAAGCACAGCAGTTTGGAGGTGCTAATTTAAAAAATAACACAGCCTGTGAATACAGGTCACAAGCATGAAAACCTTCAGAAAAGAAAAGAAGGAAGAAAAAAAAAAAAGAAGAAGAAGAGGAAGCAGGATCTGATACCAGATAAGCAATTGCAGAGGGTAAGCTGGATACAGAGAGCAGAACTTGTTAGCCTGAATGATACCAAGGGACGTGCCTTGTAAAACGATCAATACTCAAAGGCTCAAATAAAGGACTTGGTTGTCTTCCCCGCCCCACAACCTGAACAAATCTCCTCTACTTCTAGATATTTCACACTGCCTGCTACAAAACCTCTCACATTTCTTTCCAGAATTAAGTTCTGCTCAGCACACTGTTTTTCAGATGTGAACACAAAAAAAGCACACAGTAATTACAGCTTAAAACCCTGTGTTTCTTCAATAAACCCCAACTGATATTAAACAGATGTCCAACAGCATACATCAAAATACAGAAAACACAACTGGAAAATTTCAGAGCTGCACCATGCAGTGGGCAGGGCAGCCTCGAGCTGAGCAACAGAGAGCTGCTGGAGCAACAGGGAGAGAGGCTGGGGAGGAATTGCACCAATATATATGTGTATTTATTTTTCTCTTACAGTCATTTTTTCTTAATGAAAAACAATCGATTTGCAACACTCTTTTCATAGATAAATGAGAAAAAGCCTTGGTCTAAACAGAGAGAGAAAAGGAGATCTACACAATTCTGTGAGTGAAACATCATTACATGCCTTAGGAACACAAACAACAAGGAGTTTTGCTGGTAGAGACACAGGGCAGAGCAGTAGAGCTTCTTTAACAACACAGGATATTTTCCTTAAACAAATACTCAACTTCCAAGATGTCTTCCAACACAAATGTGCTTCAATTGCTACAAACCTTCAGTTGACGCTCAGGAATATGACTTTATTTCTTTGTCACAGTAATGAGTAAATACTCTTTGAAAATAAAAATAAAAATTAACGGTACATCCAGCAATCCAACTTCTGAGTACTTGAATCCCTAACTTTAAAAAATTCTTTGACACACAATGTGTTTTTTTTCTTTGTCCAGAATGTGTGCATACATATACAGCCATGTATCACCTCTCTGTCGAGCGTTTTATAACTCAAAGAGAAAGGTGCTCTCCCCAAAAAGCTGCCTCTCCAAGACTTACTTCCCAAGAAGAAGAAAGTCACCAATTCCTCTTCCTGTTATCAGTGCTATGAAAAAGGAAAGCCACCACAAATTGCACAGGCCCTTTCCTCTAGACAAGCACCATTTAGCCCACAGTTCCTACACCTCACTGGCAATCTTCCACTGCTCGAGTGTGCTAACATTAATAAAATAGTTCAAGGTGAACACGAACTCTTAAAATATGTCAAGGACTGGGGAGAAAAGGAGTATTAGAGAGGGAAAGCCATTATAGAAATGAAGAATAAAATCAAGTCAATTATGATCCTCAAATCTCAGGTCTACCAAACTGCCCTAATAAATTGGCCTGTAAGAAGAAAAACAAGCAGGGAAACAATTAGGAGAAATAGACTTTCAAGTAATTCTCCCTGAGAAAAAAGACTTGAAAGTCTCCTTTAATTCAACAAAGATGAGAAATCACGCAACTTTTTCAAAGCATACTGGGTTCTGTACACCTTTGCTACTTATATTAGTAGACAGACAAAATTTCCTTCTGTTTTCCCCGCAAGTGTGTATACACGTGTATGAGAGAAGAGACTGCAGCACTGCAGCTTTTGCTTGACATTTTTGTCATCTTCCCTATATTCACCCACCAAATCTCCCCCTCCAATCCATTTTTTCTTCTCCACCATTTTAAAGTACCTTTTAGCTAGTGCTCACGTTACACCACTGCTCCTTATCTCGAAAATCATCCAGACACAAACTAAAACTCAAAAATTTAAGGATGGGAGTTGCCTAGGCCTTCAAGCAGCATGTTTTCCAGCACTTAACTTAAAGCGTACAAAATAAAACGTAGTTCAAAAATTAAAAGTTATCGCTCTTAAATGAAGTCAGGTACTTTAATGAGAATGGTTCCTGTGGGAAGAAGTATTCTAATACGAGCAGGAACACAAGGAACAAGCAGGAATACAAGGAACAACCTTATCCTGGTAGAGACAAATCATCCCATTAAAGCCTCGTGGCATTGGCAGGGTCCCCTGCCCCCAGCCCCATCCAGGCTGGCTTTGGGCATTGCCAGGGATGGGGCACCCACAGCTCCTCAGGGCAGCCTGTAACGATGGAGCAAAGTTATATAGAGAGGGGCACAGGATCAAAAAGAGAACCTGGGAGATGGCATCCAAATGCCCCAAAAAAATAACAGCTACACAAGAAGTAACATTCCCAAGGAGCAGAATTTTCTGGCTCATTTCTTCTGTCTCCCATTTGTTCTCCACCTCAAGTGTATGTTCTGGCAGGAAACCCTCACAGAAGGCTGCTTGCATCTCGTTACTAATACATCTCCTTCATGCCAAGTCTTTTTTCTTTTTAATGAAGAATTCTTCATTAACAAAAAAATGCCAAATGATCTATTTTCCTTTAGAGGTGAGCCAAATCTGCATACTTGATTTCTTACCTAATGTGGTCCATTTATACCAAGTACAGCTTCCAATTTCTCCCCACCATGACACAGGCTTCTTCTTCAGCACTGCGCCACTGCCATTTCAGTCCCCAAAGAACATAAAAAGGAATCTATTTGATTAATATCTGACTCACAGTAGCATTCAGTGGAACTACAGCAATGGACTGTTTTCACAATTCACCAAAGATTTATATTTTTTAATCGATATAGCTCACGTAGTCAGAGAAGACTAGTATACTCTGGAACAAGCTAGTCAGTAATAGCCAAGACGCTAACACTGCTGGACTGGGGGGTTCCAGAAAGGGAGAACACTGAAAGCAGCAGCCAGCAACAGCAGAGACTGAGCAGATGCGTTATGCCATTTCTTCCACTTTCTCTCCAGGCAGAGTACTGTTCCGAGGCCTGTTACACGTGAAAGCAGTCTTCATAACTTCCACACACTTTTGAAAATAAATTGTTCTGAGCGTTCCTCAAAGCGCATCATATAACCTTTGAAGCTATGCATGTGATAAAGTGGTTTACATTCTGGCCCTAACCCAGCCTGGAAAGCCTGGCCTATACTGTAAGCTTTTACAGATATCCCTTGGAAGTAATTATTTTCTTAATCGCAAACCCAAAAGATATCATAAGACAAAATACAAACACTACAAAGGCAAACCAGAGGGACAGAGAAAACAGCACAGCATACATCAGCATGACATTGACAGAGCTCTGTAGCGTCAGCCTGACCATTTGGCTTGAAATAAGGATGCAAATAAGTGGTAGGCTGCCACTTAATTCCAGTCCTTATCGTCAATCTCTCCCCGTGCCACTAAGGCATACATCAATGTGTGCTGTACTGAAATACATACATCTACAGATCTGTAACAGTACTGAAAAAATATTGTGGTTTTATGTTGCCTTGATGGAGGTATTAAATCAGACCATAATAATCCCATGAGCTGATGCATTTAGAAGTCATTACACGGAACGGTCTACAGTCCACTGTCTTCGGGATCTGCAGTCCTGATGCTGTTCCTCTGGGTGCAATGGGAATGCTTATAAAAAAGTTAAACGCTCCCATGTCTGCTCAAGTGGTCTATGCCACAGACATATCCTCCAGATAGAGCAAATAATGCCCGTATCTTCTGTTCCATGAGCTAGGTCTTCATGGTCTTTAAATGCTTAAGGAAAGAGGATTTGCTCTGGACCAAAAATAAACAACTGTCGGCGTAGTAAGATATTTAAAGCAAGGGCAAAAGACTTTCAGGACTAGCCATTTTTCAACACAGACTACAACTGAAATACACACTCCTGTTTTAATCTAATTCAACCGTGCATCATGTTTTACGTTCTAAGATTTATTTGAAGAACACTGAAATGCCTTGCAGAATAAGCTTTGATACCCTGAAGAGGAAAACTGACTGTCACTACATCCATTTTATAGCTGAACTCGCATCAAGAGTAGTGCTGCTACAAACCTCGACCAAGCAGCACAACCAGTGCGCTTCTCTTTGAGCCACCCAATGCCACAGCTTTCTGCGAATCACGTCTTACAAGCCCCACGTTTTCTCCCCTGCAAACAGCACCAAACCAAAGTTTAGCAAAAAGCACGATTACAGACAGGATGGCTTTTATACACTTGTACAATTGTTAGTTATGTGACCTGACCTTCTAAAAAGCATCATGACAAGCGCAAATAAAGTTTTCAGGGACACCATGAAATGTACCGTAACTACATTCATCCTCCTCTCTCGTTTCCTTGTTATACGTATTGCTTGACAGATTTGTGTTTCAGGTATAATATAAAACACTAAAGTTACATCTGGTTAAGTTTAGGTGGAAATCTAGAAATCAAACTCCCCCATTTTTATCATATTCTACTTGAAATTGAGCTTTAACATTATTACTATGCTTTATACTCCTAATGCAGTTCAGAAAACAGTTTAATCTTGATCAAAGATTAAAGAAATCTGAGTTGAAAAGAATGCAAAACCCAAAATACTGCACCTCTTCCAAGCCAAAATAATGCATAATGTTGTCTGTAACACCCTCCAGCACTGAAAGTTTCCCTCCAAGCTGCAATGAAACAAAAATTAATATTGCAATTCCCTGAGAGAACGACCACGCACACTCATGTGCCGTTCATTTACCTCTACACCACTTGTGCATCAAGGTCTTGTGTGCAAACTTTGAAGGCTCAGAGTCTGACTGTCAAGCACTAACAAGTACAGAAATGATTGAAGGTTAAGAAACAGCTTCCTGCGGTTATTCCAAGGGATAAACTGCTCCTACGTAGT